CTCTTTTTCCGTTTTTTTGCGCGTATTTATCACAAAGCCAGAAGAGCTGGCACACCACGTACGTCGGGCAAGTGATGGGTACAAACTGCAGGTATGCGGCTGTGAATAGAATGGTCTGACTTAGTTAAGCATGGTGTATTGGAGCATGCTAACAGCATCACTAACATGGGGTATTCAAATTAACTGAATTTACTATGATAATTATCATACAGGGTATTTATCAGAGTAAATTGAGGAGACAAAAATGATACAGTTGCTCGCTTCTGATGCTTAGATTTTCTCCAAAATCAGTTGCAAAAAGTTATGGCGCTAAAAAAAATTCGCCACACCTGTCTCTCAATCAATAAGGTATTCGAACCTTAAAATATCACTAAATTTCAAAAAAAATGAAAAGAAACTTGCCCATTTTCGATCAAGCTGGAGCTTTCACTGCTCATTGCTTTACACGAATTACACAGAGATGATTCAATGACAAAAATGTGTACGGAGCCGGTAGTTTCCAAAACAGCTGTAGTACTAGCAGTTGTACTGGTGGCGGTGATATTAGTAGTAGTAGTGGTAGTAAAAGGAGGAGGAAGAAGCCGATAATCTTTACGGTCGTGTCAACAAATGTATCAGTTTGCTCGTGACACCGCAAATCGTTATCAGTGACGCAACGTGCTGATATCAGTAGAGAAGACTTTTTTGAACGAGAATTTTTTGTAGTTTTTGAATGCCGCCCATAGTACTTTGATCAGTTGTTGTTAAATCACACGCATTTCTTCTCGCCATTGATGCACCGGGCAGCTTCTCCACTCCTCTCTATTTCGGGCATCTCTCACCCACATAATTCCTAATAGTCGTTCATGCGAATTTTCCCACAGCACTGGTCGCCTCTTTCAACATTACATGGGTACCATTCAATAACTTGCCTTTTCTCCAAGCGACACCACTTCCAGATCTCGTAAGGCACCGTGCCTCCCATGAACATTTAAAAGTAACTAACGCAAACGAATCAGAGCAGGAAAATAAAGCGCACCCCTCTTTTAATCTTAAATTTTCGTACAGTATAAATTCCGAAAAATGGGAATTTTTGAGCTGCTTCTGCGTAATTTTTTACAGTTCTATTTCTTCGGTGAGGTTGCTGCTGCCGTCGCTGCTGCTGCAGGAAACTAGACAGTTCGATTAGTCACTCGCTCCTTACAGAAACAGTTTTTGAGTTCGTGAATCAGCCAATCAATCAGTCAGTTAGTCACTCAGTCAGCGTGAGTCAGTCAGTCAACTAAATTAAATGAAAATATTCAATGGTAATGTGCTTTACAGATCGCTCCTCAGTACTGCCTCACACAATGAATTCGGTACACTGTTCTTCAACAAACCTACTTACCACTCTCAATTTTTCCACTGCCTTCTTGCGAGCCTGTTCTGAGAAAAGCAAACAGTATAAAAAGGCCCCCCTTCACCAATTTCACTGACACTTTCCCGCTGGTCCAGTCTCGCACCTGAGGAAATTAAGATGTCGAATTTTATGCTTTTGTTGCAATTTGTCTTCATTGCTGTAACCCATCAATCAGTAAGTTTTGCTGAAAAATTCTTGAAATGATCAAGTTAAATTATGATAACAGAATGCAACCCCATAGATCTCACTTTTACTGACCAGTACAAATGTAAATAACTTTCTCACTAATATTATCCTGTACGGCTGTGGGTAAATTCCTCAATTTGGCTGTCTGATACGACTGTATGTGAGTTTTCCACTTTTGTTGGCCAATATAATTGCAATAAGGAATAAAACTGTGCCAAACAATGCGGTTAACTTCCTTTCTGGAAACTATTACTGTTCACTGAGGTAGCAAATGCAGTCAATGCCAAATAGTAAACCCTTTTCGTAGCTCTCCCTCTTCTCTCCTTCCCTAGTCCGCTTTCGGTATTAGCCCGAAAGTAACAACAAGCCTGACTAGCAACAAGTGACAACAGCCACTAGCTGGCTAAGCATTTAAAAGTATTTTGTTATTCTCAAAAAATTTTAATTGCCGTAAAGGATGAGATAAGGTAAAAAAGACATTCGTTAACCATAAACAAACTTTGCGTTTGTGATAATTTTGTTCTCAAATTCGTTTCCAGCAACGCACACAGATACACATACTCTCACATACAGTGTAATAGCCGTTTTCTTAGCTACATTTAAATATTGCTTAATGAAAGAAAAGCATTAAGATTTATAAATTGCCGAATAAGAAAAGTTAGAAGGATATTAATGGTGTTTGATCGAGGAAATGCACGATTGGTGGCAATAATTTTACCCTTTTTTAATTAAAGAATTTAGTTATCAGAGGAATATCTTCCAAAAAGCTGCTTAAACGGGTCGGACAAACAGTGGTACCAAGTTAAGCATATAGCTAAGAAACGAAAGCTCCAGGAATTAGCTGTACCCCGTCTGTAAGGAGATTCCTGGCAGTATCACTAGAACTGGATTTTTGGACCAACTGAGGAGTAGTCTTTCGCTTTCTGACTAATGTATTAATTGCCTTTAAAGGTTTTGCCTGAAGCGGCCTCACAACCAGCATCGATGCCGCCGCAATCTGGCCCCAGTAATTTTTCGGATGAAATCTCCTGGCGAAAGGAACTGGGAAAGCTGGTCAATTTTCCACGACTTAAAACCATCGAAATGCCGCAATGCAAATGCAAAGAATTCGATCAGTGTTCAGCACAAATGCGCATGTTGGCTGAGAAATGCAAATTAAAGTTCGTCCACCAACTTTCTACTGACCAACTGCACATAAAAGTTTGGCTAATGGACATGACGTGGTGACAGGTCACAATACTTATCAAAACTTCTGGGGCATCTTACAGCAAATTATTGTTAGTTTAGCTACTTGAGAAGAATTTAAATGCTGATGGCAGCTATAGCAAACTTTTTGCAATCCTCTAAATGGGCATGCTGATTATGATATGTACGAATATCTTTATCAAGGAGAAAACGAAAGATCTAAATAGCATTTGTAGCATTTACTAAAATTTTGCAAAAATAGATTTCCAGAAACCTGCATTACATGATTCAAGCCTTTTATTCTTTAAATTAATTCAAAATGAATAAGGAATAACATTCATTTGAAAAAATGAAACTTTTTCGTTAAATAGGAGTGATTACAATTTTTCAGCCAGACTTGCGTCGGTTATTTGAAGAAAGTTGCTGATGTCGATAAAATTCTACAGTGCCATGATAAGGAGCAACAGCGAGCGGATGAGGTTACGAACTGCGTCAAACAGAAAAACGAACAAGTCGCGTATGTATTGTTTATTTCGCATCCTGTCCGTCATCCATTCCTGATCCTACTGCGTCCTCTCACGATGTATTGACTCTCCTTGTGGGTTAAGGCATTCGGGAATATTCAAAAATAGCAAATGCTTAGCATAACCATCCGCTGATAAGGCTATTGCCTGAACAGGCTTTACTTAATCTGATTTTCATTGTTTTCCAAGTGACTATACAGAGAATAAGGACTTAGAAAATCAACTCCTCAAGAACAAAGGAATGCAAAGAATTGGTATGCCTATTGCAAGACTGTATGGACTTAGAATTTGGCAGCTTTCTTGGGCAGGAAACAAATATACGCCGTAATTGTCGCGGTGCTCCCGCAAAAACTGGCGAAAGGAGTATGTGGCACACAACATATATATATATATATAATTTGGAGTATATATATATATGCTCCAAATTATTTGTGGAGCATGTAGACCGGTGGTGTAGTAGTAACACATCGCGTCTGGACATGAAGAGGAGATGGTTTGATTCGCTTCCACAGTACCGTCGATGTCCTCAAAGTGTCGAACCGAAAGGACTGTGCCTACCTCCTCAGTACTGCGGTGCTGAAAACAGTGGCGTACGGATGCGAAGCACAGTCACTGATGAAAGCTGTGGAGCGAGCGCTAGCTGTGACGGAGAAGGCGATGGAGCGAAGAATGCTTGACGTCTCGACCACATAAACAATCAGATTTTCGATGAACAGGACGTCTTTACGATCGAGCTAGAAAGTAAGGTCAAACTGACAGGACTTTTGTTCTTGCCGACAAATGGATGATTCATATTAGTGAACGGTACCCGTACCCACGAGAAACTAAAAACACTCGAGATTTTGAAAAGCAAGGTTCCAGGATGCGAAATCCACTAAAATTTTGTTAACTCTCCAGTAGCTTTGTTGCAGGACATGAATTTGCTGATCAAATTTGACTGCTTCATAAAGTTTCGGCGGTCGGACTTTTTTTGAAGGGGTCATTAAAGTGGTTATCAAAATCCTCAAATGTATTTTCAGGTGCGCAAAAGAAGGCGAGGTGCCAAAAAATATCTCACTCCAGGTTTTGGATAATCCCAATAATTTTCAAGCAACTGCAGTGCATTATTCATCGAAAAATCCACCAAATGTGAGGAAGATTTTCGCAAATTTCTGATTAATGTTCCTGTATGAATGATTTCTGCTAACAAAACGGTATTATGTTGTGAACTTATATATTTATGTGCATGTTTTTATGTATATATGTGCCTATTTTTATGTATGTACCTGTTTGTGCATATTTATGCACATGTAGGTTTGCATGTACGCGTTCATTTGTGTGTATGTATGTATGTGTGTGTGTGTCTGTCTTTGTGCATGTTTGTTGCGTATTTTTGTCTCCTTCATCAACTGGACACTCGCACCAGCTTTTACCATAAATGCATAAGCCTGTTGGTCTCCGAATATTTCCCATCTTCTTTTAGACTTTTTCATGTCAGTTAGTCGCAGAAGTGAAGAGGACTGTTTGCTGTGGGGTGTTGCTGCTGAGCAGTAAACGAACTTTTCGATTTACAATATGTGTTTTAAGCTATTAACCCTTGCAGGCGAGGGGACGAATGTCTAGACTGCCAAAACGCTGGCCGCCAAACGATGTATCATTGACCAAAGCAACTAAAAAGGAGTTGATAGCTGTGCATTTGGAGAACCAGACTGTGTAGCTAGCTAGCTAGAAGATCAAGACTGTGTAGTTGTATAGCTAAAAAGTCAAAAAGCACCAAGTTTGGTACTTGTATCAGTTCTTTGGTATAACTAAATTGCAAGTGTTGCAGAACACATTCTATCCTGTCGGAATCGTACAATATTCGATGTGCATTGGCGAGTGCTTGAACTACGAGATGGATTTATTGTATCCCGCACATCCTCAAGAAGGAATAAGCTGCGAGCTCAAATTAGGGTACGTATTGCAGATTTTCCGGAAAATATCAATTTATTAGCGAATGCACTGATCAAAGTAATTGGAAAAGTGATCGGTTATGCAGGTGGTAACAAGACTACGAATCAAGAGTTGATCCCAGTATTGCAAATATAATGTTGAAATGACTTTGAATAGTGCTACAAAAACGCATGCTAACCAGCATGCGATGCGAAGTGGTCAAAGCCATTGGAAAAATATCAGTTGCATAGCTAAGAAGCTGATTTTGGTTACGTATTGTAGAAATTTTAAAGGTGCAAACAGAGAATATTTCTAGCAAGAAGAGCGGAAAAGAACTGGGGGCTGAAATCTTCTATGTGTTAACATAGGCAGTTTGTTTGGCGTCATTTGCCCATCGTGGAGAGGAAGACTATCGAATTTTGAAAATTAATGAAAAACTGAAAGTGCTATTTAGATCTCCCAAATAAGCAAGTCTGTAGGTTCAGTGAGTTAGTAGCCTGGAATATTCACTGTTTCATCCCTGAGTTGTATACGTGTAATGTTCAAGTACGTTATGTGCACTGATGTGTTATTTTTACGACATGCCAACAACATAACCCAACGTCTGTACTGTATTTGTACTGGGTACACTGTCTGTACGCCGTTCGAGATGCACATTTATGCTAAAACTATCAAAACAAGTAACTATGGTAGTGAGAGCATAAATAAGTTGGAGACTAGAAATCGTGAGAAGAGTTGTTACAGATGTACAGTCAGCTGCACGTCAATGGTCTAAAACGGGCAACCTAGGCGATTTTGACTGAATATTGCAGGTATTTTCATGGATTTTAAATAATTATAATCTTGGTCGGAAATTTCAGGTGCCTGTTGGAGCAACCAACGAGAGAGGCAGAAGCAGCACTGGTTAAATGTCAAAGTGATCTCCATAATGATGCAACGACACGATTCATGGATACCTGCAAATGCCTTCAGGAAGCGGGTGTTGACGTCGATTGCGCAAAAGCGAATGTTTTGTTTTTTAAGTAGTTC